CCCAGTTTAATATTTTCCGAAGTTTAATTGGCATTACTTCTAATTGTGCATTTAATCAACAATTCAATTAACTTCCTTGATTAGTTTCTAGGGCAATCTAATTGAAGAGTACTCAGAGTGTAAATGCGCAAAGCGTAAGCCCTCTTTGTCACAGCATGCATTGGATTTTCATGTCACATGCCTGCAAAACAAAATGCCAGAACACAGGATATCTGATTCACAGCTCTGTCGTTACTTTCAGTGACTGGGTAATTCTTTGGCTATTAAAAAGCATTATTAGAAAACGCGGGAAAGTCCTCTTTTATCTAAAATTAATATGAAACCCTTAAATGCCAGGGGCAAAAATATATACCATCTGCTTCAATAATCAATACCTGAATTTTATATTATGAATTTCGTACGATTTTCAATGTAAATAGGGAGTATTTCCTTAAATAGCGTTAAGAAATTGACTTTTGTTAGTAAAGTGTAGTGTTTCTTTTATTTAAGAACTGTGACGAGTTTCGGCTTCATACGGTTTAACTGGGATCCGACCAAATGTCTCTAAACTTCCACGTGTGACAGTAAAAATCGTCTAAAAACTATACACATCAAAAAACAGTGTAGGTCATGACAATTTTTAGCCAGACAAAGGAGACAGTAGCTTTATGGTCATTAATGCGCACTATAAGGCCTATAATCGCTTAACACAGCAACAGTGACAAAGTCATAATAATTATTTTCTATTATTTATTATTTTTATCTTAAACTTCTTGTTGGAGTCAAAAATTTCTACCGAAGCTCTGGAATTTGAAATTCTTTAAAGTGTACATCAAGCTAAACCCTTATCAAATCACTATTCATAATTGTCTTAATCATTATTTTTTTCCGTCGTAATTGCTTCAACAATCAGTAATCCTTCATTTTGTATTCATGAATTTCGTTTGTTTCCCACTGTAAACGGGGACTATTTCCTTGAACAACATCAACAAGATTATCTTTGTAACGGTGAATAGTTGTGTTTTCTTTGCGGTACGGACTGAATTCTTAAATAACATTTAGATGAGCTTCGACTTCAAAGGTTTAATTCCTTGCTGAACTCTCTCAGCCTTTACGACTAAAAATTCGTAATACAAAGCGCGTTAGAGGAAGCCACATCTGCGTCTTTAGTTCACAATGATCATCATTGTCCCTGTCGCCAAAACGCGTGACATGAGCACCAGTGGCAAGAAAGTCCCGGATTTGTCCGGGAAGGCGCCATTGAGCAGGCGCGCACGTCCGTTGAATTATTGGGTCGATGTTGAACGCGGAATAAGAGGTACGGGGACCTGATTGGTGGGTCTACATCATTAAAAACTCTTTCCTCATTGGTTCTGCTCTTCAGAGGATACCAGTCTTTTATTAGCTTGTGTGAAATAGACCTGAAATATCAGTTTTTTAAAAGAGTTGCTCATTACACACCATGCCTGTCCTGCACTACGAATTCGCCTACGTTATAATTTAGGGATACGGGAATATGTAATGGTCGCATCGCTTTTGTTTAATATTGTATAAAATCCGATAGTTTAATTAAAACCATTAATATAACCGACAGAGTTTACATGTGAAAGCGTATGAATTAATTTAAACAAGAGTTATTCCCAAATATTTAGTAAAATAAAATGTAAAATAAATGATATAAAAATGCATATTGCATTAATTTCTTGATATTGGCAATAAGTGGTCAATACAATATAAATATTTAGACCATATACAAAATAATTTGTAATCATATTGACAGTTAATAGTTAACATAAAATTTACAAAATAGTGATCAGTTACAGTATAACTTATTGCATCAACGCGAAGTTAATTTAAACATACTTTCAAACAAGATTTATCACCCCCAAAACACATAGATCATTCATATATAGATATAAAATATATACTATTTATTAAAATGGCAACGATACAATGCGTCTTGAAAAATCAGTACCATTTCCTAAATTAACACATTAACGTGATAATGACACGTGAAATTGGATACTTAAAATGACGTAGGCACTTACCGTCCGTATAAGATGGACACAACGATTTCCCTTGTCCTAAATTGTCTACGTCTGATGTCTGAATATGTATATAAGCTTGTATATTATGTATAAATGAAGAATAGTTACAGTTTCACAAAAGACGGCGATTTTAAAAGAAATTGCTACCACTTCAAGCGTTGGTTTCTGATTCAGAGCAACTCAGCTTGTGGCTGAGAAGCATGAAAAATAAATTGACCTCTACTACCAGAATAATCATCATCAAGTATAATTTTACCTCCCACCCGCCTCGGCTTGTTAACGTATGGAGTGTTCTCTTTATCAGGAGGGGGGGATACGAACTTGAATTGAGACCGGTGAAAGTTGCCGTACTCCACCCGCTAATACATTACGTTACAGACGCGATATTTTTCTGTGAATTGTCCTTTTTATTCATAATTTGATACCAAGAGGTTGTCAATCGTTCGGATAATGAAAATGGTTGCGAAGTATGGTCTGGAAGAAGTTTACCGACGTTTCAGATGTGCTTACAGCCTCCATTATGAGGATTATAGTGGCTCAGGACAGCCTGAGAGCGGATTTTATGAGAATACGCAATATTCTTCCTGATAATAATTTTAAAAAAGTAATGTAATTGTCTTGCTGTTTTGTCCCTCTCAAACGTATGCTGTAGTGAAGAGCGTTCTATTTGATTCTGTGGTAGCAGCTGTGTTTTGTTTTCTGATGACGTTCATTTTTCCAGCCTGCACCAAAAAGAACAAATCGTTTGTCACGACGTTAGCGAGAATAATTCTTCGTCAGAGATTCGGCCGCCGGACTTTCTCTGCGTAAACTTAGCTGGAACACTTTCCCCTCTGCAGTTACGCTGTCTTAACAAGTGACTTCCCCGTCGATATTATTTCTTATACAAAACTCACGGGCCCTGATGCATAAAATTAAGCGTCAGGCGTGCGTAAAAATTTTCACATTTTTGAACCTAATTTTAACCAGCATTTTGAAGATGGTATCAATATAATAACTACGTATATGAAATTAAGGATCAGCTGAGTCTTTTTAGAGGCTTCAGTGGTCTTATTGTACAAGTAGCTAATGATGAAAACGATGATCTTTGTGGTCGAATGATGATTGGCAGAAGTAAACCAAAGTATTGAGTAACTAGTTCCCATTGTTCACCACAAATCCCTCACTAACTGCTCTGGGATTGAACCCACGCCTCATTGGCAAGAAGCCGACGATTAACTTACCACTTAACCTTATAAAATTGCGGAATATCAACCACAGAATGTAGTTCTATTTTTCAGGGTATTCCAGATTTTGTTTAGTTACTCAGCTTGTCATTTTCGGCTTTTGTGTCGCAACCAGCAGAGAGCCCACAGCGTCAGTGAGGAGGTATTTGAAATCTGTTTACATTTTGTATCAGTCTGTGTTGCCCGCAAGCTTTCTGTAGGTGACATTTGCTCCAGCAGGTGGTGAAGTAGTCGCTGCTACGGTCTTAAGTTACATAAACAATTTTCCCCAGTTTGTTACAACGTGTAAAAGTGCTATAAATATTTTCAATCATGATTGATTCATATTTTTAAAGAAATAAACAAATCCTATTTTATGCAAATTTCTCTTCATAATTTGAAGGAGTCAACTTTACCTACTACCCTGGGGTAAATGGTTCAAAGCGTAGGAACTGAAAAATATTGATTTTAAAATGTCCTTTCTAAAAAAAATTAAAAATATTCGTACAGGTAAGAAATAAATTAACTTCATCTTCACAAAATTTGGTATATCAGATGACAGTAACATATTACTAACCGTCTTTTTTACCCTCAAGGTGGTCACATTACCCGTTCTTCTCCTATTATATTACAAAAATGAAATCAGAAGCAAGTCTGTGACTGACGACCGGAGATTCAAATCCCGAGTGATGATGGGAACGCGGAGGCAGGGAAGCGGCGATGTCCATCTGCCAGAGTTTCAAATACGAGCCCGTGTTTATTTTAACTTCGGGGGATTTAATTCCTGAAACG